TCTTACAACATTTTGCCCAAGCAAGGGCCTGGGATGGAACCCCTGGAAGCATATCATTTCAGCCGCTCCCAATCTTACATGTTCCAACTGAATCCTACATAAATGAATCTGGACAAGCTTTTTGGATCTTTTTAGGCTCTCTCTCTCTCTCTCTCTCTGTCAAGTCTGGTTTGGTCTGTCGATGCCATGCCTGATGTTCTGACCATCATTTTCCCAGAAACCTGGCCCGTGTTGTTTCCATTCGCACCCGACTCCTTGACCCTTTTGAAATTCTTGCGCTCCGAGACATGCCCATTGCACTGTTGCCTTCCCATCAGTGTATGGAGAAGGAGATCCACTCAAGTCCGGGTAAGACCATTGCATGTCCTGACACGATGTGAAGATGCCTGTGGTTTGTGGGAGTCAAGTTAAGTCAAATGATGCATGTCATGTCACCAACACCACACCTAAAAAATCCCCAAGCTGCAAATACTGCATTCAAAGAAGTCGAACTTGCTCCTGCAAAGGGGAATGCATCTGGCCCGTGTACGCTGGAATCAACCTGACAGCGATCAAACATTTCCATTGTTTCTATGCAAGCCTGCATCCCCATGAAAACACAAGAAGACTCAGCGCTAGAATGCTGGAAGCGAATGCAAACGCGACTTGTTGATTGTTGACTGTACTGAGAGTCAAACGGCCAATGACTGGATGGGAAGCTGGAAAAGCTTGGGATATTTGGCAAACTGCTTGGCAGGCTGCTTGGCAAGCTCATAGGCGCAAATGCTTCGCAGCCGCACAATGATGTTCCCAGGAACATCCTGACATCCCACCAAGGTCTGCCAGTTTGCCAGCGAGTGCTGCGCAGGAAAAAGCCAGGAGCGACGCGCCTGGCTTGAGATGTCGAAAGCTTCTCGATTTGCACGGGATCGGTTCTCCGAAGGTACGGTTTGAGTTTCTTGGCTCCTCAGAATCTGTAAACAGAGTGCAGCACTTGTGTGTACTTCGGAACTAGCCGTCTACTAACGACAATCGCGGGGCATCAACCTGCTCTGGTCGGGATCGACTTGGTTAATTGCTGGCTGCTCAAGGCCAAGCAAAGAATTTGGCCAAGTGTACATAATGTACATGGATGCTGTCAGGGCACGCGAACATTTTGGTCACTTCAGGTTCAATTGTTTTCTTCTCTTCTGCATGGCCCTGCAACGGAGAAAATATCGCCACGGCAACACTCTCATTTTCAATCGCAATGAGTCAGTGCGCTGGATGACTGATTGCATACTTGCATAATTAATCCGGCAGACTCAATGCAATCTCATTGCTGTTTCTCAGCAAAATGCGCCTGCATGCAATGAGATTGTGGATCTTGTGGCACCTGCAGCTCTGCCTCCAATTCATCAAAGCGTGCAGACAAGGACTGTTGCGTCTGGCTCGTGGCAAGCATCATCGAATGCTGCCTAGGTGTTTGCAACGAACAGTTCGTTCCCGTAGATGTGGATGAAGCCAGTGGCTTATTTTTGAGCATTTTAGGCTAGTGCAGCCATCTGCATCCTGAAGATGACAAAAGAATAACATGGGAAGGGATTAGGAGGATAGTTCCTCTTAATGAGCCAAAACCCACACACTAGACAAGAATGGATCATTATATGATCCGTCAGGAACTGAATCCTGAAACATGCAAACTTGAGAGGGGGAACACGAAAGGTAGGTAAGCAATAAGCAAGAAAGGAACCGAAGAAAAAATAAAGGGGAGAGGGTAGGGGAAAAAAATAAAGTGGAGTCTGGTAAAAGCGACGCGGCCATTTTCTTTCCAAAAATATAAAGGGGAGTCTGGTAAAAGCGACTGAAAGGCTTCGGCGATGTGGTTGGGGTTGGTGGTGGTTGTGGTGTTGGTGGTGTTGGTGGTGCTGGTGGTGTTGGTGTTGTTGGTGTTGTTGGTATTGGTGTTGTTGGTGTTGTTGGTGGTGGTAATGTTTTTGGTGTTGTTAGTGTTGTTAGTGTTGTTGGTGTGGTTGGGTTTGTTGGTGGTTTTGGTGTTGTTGGTCGTGTTGTTGGCGTTGGTATTGTTTGTGTTCGTGTTGTTCTTGTTGTTGTTGCTGTTGTTGCTGCTGCTGCTGCTGATGGTGTTGTTGTTGTTGTTGTTGTTGATGTTGTTGTTCTTGTTGTTGTTGTTGTTAATGTTGTTGTTGTTGTTGTTGTTGTTGTTGTCGTTGTCGTTGTTGTTGTTGTTGTG